CCACACCTCACCACACCTCTATCCACCACACCTCACCACACCTCTATCCACCACACCTCACCACACCTCTATCCACCACACCTCACCACACCTCACCACATCTCTATCCACCACACCTCATCACATCTCTATCCACCACACCTCACCACACCTCACCACATCTCTATCCACCACCTCTCACTACATCTCTATCCACCACACCTCACCACACCTCACCACCTCTCTATCCAGTGAGTATCCACCACCCCTCATCACATCTCTATCCACCACCTCTCACTACATCTCTATCCACCATCTCTCACCACATCTCTATCCACCACCTCTCACCACATCTCTATTTACCACCTTACACCACACCTCTCAACACGCCTCCTATCCACAATGCTCTCCACACTCCTCACAAAACCGCCTCCCCACAGACCCACCTACCTGTGCACCATCCTTGATCTTCTGTGCAAAGATGCCGTACTCGTAGCGAATACCATAACCATACGCAGCTAGACCCAGCGTTGCCATGGAGTCAAGGAAGCAGGCAGCAAGGCGGCCCAGGCCTCCGTTTCCAAGGCCAGCATCCTCCTCTATGTCTTCCAACTCTTCTATGTCAAGACCAAGCTGTGTAATTCCAAGAAAAAATCAAAAATACAGAACCAACTTGGTTTACATTTTGCACTGTAAGTATTTTGCATCTATGATATTAAAAAATGTAATATATATATATCACCCTGTTTGATTCAGCTCACTGGTCTATGCTGTTTATATATAATTAATGTTTTTCTTCCAACTGGGTTTAGCAAAATTTTTTCTCCAATAACATACTAAATAGGTGCACACCATGCCATGTAGTAATACTGGATTTACCATGGTGCCAAGGCAGTACTAGCACACATAGACATGGCTCACCAATTATGTTCATTCATTACGTTTCAGTGCAAGGTAGCCAACAATGCAAAAAAATTGCCAGGCAAACAAAAGATAAGCACTACCCAAAATTGAAATATACTTCTCAGTCCACCATGTGCGCATGGAAATCTTTAATTAGAACACAATGCATGAGCGTAGAAAGTCATTTTAACATTAGCCATCTACCTTCTCGTGAACTAAAATGTACTTTGCAGGTACGATAAACTCACTTAATCAATCAAAATGCAGCACACAAAACCTTGATCCTTGACTGAAAGGCCTTTATTGGTTGACCACTGATAGCGATTTGCAGTCTATAAAAAATGCATGAATCATACAATCAAAATAATTACCTGGTACATTGCCTCGTCACATTCACTCTGGATTCCCAGGTTGATCATGGTGTTGGACAGGCTACGACCCATGTAATACTCGAGGGACAGGTAGTAGATTCTCTGCAATAAACAACACCAGTAACATCAGCACTCAGTCTTACTCTTTACAGTGTTAACTAATGAGTATTTGCAGAATACCAATTACAACCGATCACTCAATAGTCAATATGTTCCCATTAGATACTAAAACACTAAATCACTAAACCATGTTTAAACTTCTAAACATTTTTGTTACAGAACCTCTAAAACATCTATCTTGTTACAGAAACATCTAAAACATTTTTGATAAAAACCTTGGGAATAAAAAGTAGCTACTATCATTTAAACCATATTACCAACTCCCAACCAATAGCAACTTTCCTAAGATGGTTAAAGAATTTTAAACTACGGGAAAACAAATAGACAACAGCATATATTTATGTTTTTAATATCACACTTTCTCAAAATAACTGCAAAAAATTAGCAAGACACAATAATTTGACCACCTGATGTATAAAGTAAATAATTGACAACAGTACATCTGTGATCTTTCACTGGTCAGCATACCAGAATGAGCTACTGTGGTTACAATTTACAAAACTCTACCGGTATTTTAATGTTTTTTGCCTGTGCCTAATACAGTTAACTTACAGAAGAGTTTCTACATTTAAAAGTCTGCTCTTTACTTATCACGTATGTGTATTTACGGCTGGTAAAACACGCTCCACGCGCGCATCTGTCATGGTTATATTTACAGAAACACACTGTACTTAAAATAGAAATAGTGTGCATTGATTTGCCGTATCAATGATTGACCTGGCTCTGGTGCTTTCCATGATACTAGCAAAAAATTAGCAAAGGAAAATATCCTACTTCCCCAAGAAGCGTGCGACGTACCCACCCCACCAACAACCTTAGTGGAGGTTTGCCTGCCTGCCACTAAACAGCGAAACTATATTCCCCGAGAGCAAACACATTCAGCTGGCATTTACGCTACCAGCCTCTATATTGATCACACAGCACAGCAGTTTCAGCCCCCCCACCACACACAAGCAGGGAACATCACAAGCTACTACTGTACGCTGCCACTTCCTCCTCCTCCCCCTGCTGCTGCTGTTGCTGCTTATGCACCGAATCATCCCATGTTGGCATGCGTCTGCCAGTGGTTGTCTTCGATCACACCGAGAAATTTCATACCTCAAACTTCAAAAAAGATTTGATGCAAGACATGCCCAGACCTGCTGATAATGTGCTATTGCTGAGCATCAACACAGTAGGGTAGGAGACGTGTATGGGAGAAACCACAAGAATTCAGGAAACTCCTGGGATGGTACTATCCAATGATTATTGGGTGTCCTGAGTCTGATATGTTATATTATATATAATATATATTATATATATGCAGGACGTATAATGACAAATATAGCCTCAAAATATAATAATTATTTGTTCATTATACGCTGCCTGACATATATATAATATATATATTATATATTATATATATTCTGATTTATCTGGGGCTTCCCATAATGGTTATGGCAAACGATACTCTCGCTAAAACGTCATTTGTGTTGGCAGGTGAGAAATCAGCAATGATCCCAATTATAAAATCGTGGTTGCCCATTTCTTTGCAACCATTTTTATCTGAAATCGGGTTGAATGGCTGCAATACATCATGTGCGTAAGTTTGGATAGAAAAGCCCTATTAGGACTGCAATGATACGCCTAAGTCCACGATACAAAAGCGAATACGTACACAATACGTATCACGATAATATGGTAATTAATACAAACTACTGAATAAAACTGTGCGTGACCTTACAGAAATGTTCCATTTTGCAGAAACACAATCAGAATTTACAAGACCTGTACGTAGTGATAGGGCAGTGTAGTATGGCATTTTAAAATCAGCTTGCTGCTTTTATTACACGAAAACATGCTTGGTAAGGTTCCCCACAGGTGGTCGAGTCTGACATGCATTCAAAGCTGCGAATATTTGTGACATCCGATCATCCCTAATATACTCGGACATGACACAGTTGTCTAATCGGCACGCCTTAATTTCCAGCTGTGTACTAACAAATTAATCCCAACACAATTATGGTGTTTTTGACAGCTTCATGTATACATTTCCAAACTCATCGAGTTTATCTTTGTTACATGGTGCTAATTACATGCATAACTGACTCCAATTATCAATTTGTGATATAAATTGTCCATTTTCCCAACATGCCTTTTGTAATTCCTGGGGATAACCCTGCATGGTACACCCGACTGAGATTTTGACAACCTGACGAAAGCAACGAGTGGACAATTAATCCGAGTTTAGTAGAGATTTATTTTTGGCATATCGGGGCATTTGGTACTCTGTGAACTTGTAAAGCTGTATCGTGAATGGTAACGGGGACACCATATCGCGGTTAATCACTGCACAAATAGATAGACCTATAAATATAGATAGCTCCTTTAAATTTTTAACAGGATAAGGAAGAGAACTTTAAAGTTGATTACTATGGCATCAAAACGAGACCTATATCAACAAATATACTCAAGGGCAGTACTACCTACAATCATACCAAATACCAAAAAACAAAAACCCAACAAATTCAGATATAACCACAATAAATAGCTGCTGAGCTAGGGGCAGACGCCGGAGTGTAACACTACACCGCCCCTCTGTTATAGACAGAGTAAAGGTGAAGCGCTATCACCCCATTCACTCTTTAACCTTTAGTTTTTGTCAGGTTTGTTATTGAACAATACCACACATAATGAAAGTGGTACTGTAGCTCACCGTGGGTGTGATAGAAGAGGGAGGGGGGATATATAAAGCAAGAGTATATATATGGGAGAACTCCCATTATATAGCATATCTCCCATTATATAATATACTCTTGATAATGATATATATATATGCATAAGTTTTGATGCGAAAATAAATGTTTCAGATCATGGTGCTACGCCTAAATGATCGGCATTTTGGTTTTCGAATATCGCGCAAATAAAAACAATAAAATATTCCAGTCAAATTACTGTAACGAAGAATTTAAAACACAATATTACACGTATATATATAGGTATGATTGTAGAGTTGTTGACCAGTTCTAGATGAAATAAACGTAATAGGACGTTGTCATCTCTCCCATAGGAGTAACAACTGTTTTGGGGCTAGCCTTACACATTCACATACCAAAATTTAACAAAATCGAATGAATTTAGATGGCCATTTTCATTTTTGCCAAAAAGTGGGCGTGGCTCAAATGTAGGTTGACTGGGGTGCTCCAAAATAGGGAGTTCAAATCTCTCCCATAGGAGTAACAACTGTATTCAATTTGAAACATGTGGGTCAAACGGTTCTTGAGTTATCGTTGACCGTAGGCAGACACTGAAATGCATCTAGTGAAATTGCCAAAATCTACCTAATTTGCATAATTTAAAAAAAATATCAAAACACGTGTGATATGTTTTGGGGCCAGTCCTTATTCTTGCACAGACTAGAAATGAGCAAAATCCGTTGAACCTGAACTGACTTATAAATGGCCATTTCTATTTTTGCCAAAAAGTGGACGTGGCTCGAAAGTAGGTCGACTGGCGTGCTCCAAAATAAGACGTTCAAACCTCTCCCATAGGAGTAACAACTATATGCAATTTGAAACATATGAGTCACACGGTTCTTGAGTTATCGTTGACCGTAGCTGTAGTGACGTAGATATCGAATTAATTAACCTAGTATAAAAACCCAGTGACACAGGTCGTTTAACTTAAGCAACATCACGTCATAGTTATTTTAGTCAAAATAGTCACGGGTCGCTTAACGGAGCATAACGCCATGGTTATTTTAGTCGACAAATGTCAGTCAAGGTAACAGGTGAAAGTTGCACCACGAATATCCCAAGAAACTGAGTCATTGGAACACGAGTAAAAGTTATCACCCACGACGGCAGAGTGACACTTTAGCACCTACACAAAGCCGAGAGGAAACATATCACAGCTTGATGTCACATGCCGACTGATGAAGATCAGACAACGAACGCCGCCGACAAATGTGAACTATGGGATATATGAAGACATGAATCCACCTGCCGCGGTTCCCACACCAGACTCAAGAAGCGTCCACAGCTTCTCACCTTCAGTCACCCATAAAATGTTGAAAATGACGACACGTCTTGCACCACCATCGTCAACAAGGCCTTGACCACGCTCAGGCCATGCATTCCTCCAGTTGTATAAATTTATACCGAACAGTTTCGACAAGAAGACAGACACGGTTCCACGGTGCCTGACAGCTCCCGACGCTGTCAGCACCAGGTTCCGCTGATCTCACCTGATGGGGATCACCACGCTACCGTCGCTGCTGGACATCACTGACTGAGGACCTGCCTGCTGCCTGCGACCTGCATGACTCCACGCTCGTAAATATGTACTGCGTTTGTAAACCAGCCGCTTGTCTGTATGTGCCTGGTGTATAAGATATGTATTGTATCGTATTTACTGGTTGACTTGCAAAGTTGCATAGCCATCTATGTACTGTATGTGTTTATTATGACAATGTCGATGCTGTTTATTAAAGAATAGAGTTACCGTAGCAATTCGGTGGTTATAGCATTAATTATACTGTTTGTGGCTTAAGTGCAATTGCACACGTATCTGTCGTACAGACGAACCTGGACACACTATACGATCACACACGTGCCTGTTACACGAGCTCACGAGCCACGCTATACAGCCAAATGTTGACGGACGGACGGACGGACGACGCCCCATGGTAATAGCTCATCTTGACGATGTAAAGGCGAGCTAAAAATCAGACATGTTTGAAACAACATGAGTGTGTACTGCCTTTAATTCTTCTCTTTTACAAAAATAATTTCTACCTCAGACCTTGGCGCAGTCATTCTGACGATTCTGATGATCAGTCAGAATAATTACTCCAAGCTCAGACTTACAAAACAGACACATAAGCGAACAACAAACAAGATCCTCGATCATGCCTCACAGCACCTGCACCTCATATTTTGGCTCAATGTCATGATTTATGTTGTTTGATACAAGTTTGCAACTTATTACACATCTATGCATAG